CCAAACCTCTCTCACCTTTTCACTCTTCCGCTACTATTGCGCAGGTCACTACCGTGCTTCGTTTTACCAACGGAACGCCCGGAACACGCTAGTGGAAATGTCTTTCCATCACCAAAATCAAAATAATTTTTCCCCGTGTGTTTCTTAATGCTGTAGGATTTGAAAACTCATTTGTGCACGCATTTCCAAGGGCTGCAGACTACATGTACGAATTTTCTCTAAAGCACTGGCACAGTTGGGCACCTTGTTACAATGCATCAGCTGACGGCTGGGAACCAGAAGTGTTTCACGCAAAGTGCGATCATAAACCTCTCACAGTTGTCTTAGCAAGAGCTAACTCATGGTGGATATTCGGTGGCATCAGCTCAAGTCCATGGAATGCTCGTGAGAATAATTAGCTTTTGGTGAAATTTTATCTTGGGCTGTGTGGATTTCCACAGGGCGCTATGTGCTAGGATTTCCCTTAGTTGTTTAGATCTCCTGTGAATAGTATAGATATATTTCGATAACCTCGCTACCCTCCTCAAAACGTTTCTTACATTCTCGTACAAACACATTTCAAATACAGTGTACTTTGGATTTCCACAAAGAGGAAAAATTGAAAAGCGCAAGTTACACAAAGCTTCGTCAGACAGCATCCATTAAAAAAAGGTAATCCAGGATTGCATTAGCTTAGCTTTACTCCGTTCTGTGATTGGTCCACAAAACGTGCGCTACTCTCTTAACTAGTCGGGCAAAACTAAATCAATCACGACTTGGTCGCTCGCGTTTCTCGCGTTCTAGGCAGTTTGGCAGTTTTTACTTTGAGTTCTTATTAGCCTCTTAGGGGTATTTTCCTTTCATCTGAGTGCTTATTGTGATAAGTTTGGCTTTGGTTTTACAATACTCAAGCGAAAAGCGCTTAAATAGACTAATTGTATATATATATATCATTTCAGTTTCCAACATGTCGACGATGAGTACTGGTTCAGTGCTGTTTACCCTGAGGAATTCCCACGGTTCTGATTCTCCTTACAGAATTTCTTCCCCAAAGAAGGCCATTATCTACAATAATATGAATTACGGACCGACTTTCGATGTCGATCTTTTGCTCATTGGAAAGAATGGTACAAGCTCTCTCGGGAAAACTTACGATGCACCAGGATACGTACGAGACATGGGACCCAAGAACACGTATTTGGCGGGAAGTTCTGAGTTTGTTTTGTCCGAACTTGAAGTTTATTATTCTGGTATATGTTCTTCACTTCTTCCTTAATTTGAATTATGATTATTGGATTAATCATAAAAATGGCAATTTCCTCAATTGTGATTGGTTTAAAAAACTCCTATTTTCCGCTAATTTGCTTGCCAAGTTATCGGACAGTTTGTTATTGGACAATTCAATAAGCCAATCACATTCACAGTTGTAGTTGAAATCAACCAACCAAAACCTTGGTTCAAATCATCATGGAAACAATGTAAAGATCTATTTTGTCACGTTTTTAATGCAAATTTCCCCTTTCTTTCATAACTTAGCCATTCTTCTTTTCTCGGAAATTGTAATTTTTATAATTAATTGGTAATTAGACTTCGCGTTGTCCAATTCGGTCTGCAATCATACTTGTGAAAAACAAATAGGACTCCCGCGGATTTTGTTGTCACTCGTACGATTAGAGACCGAATTGGACTCCACTCAGTCCTACTATCATTACTGGTCAAAACTATAACAAAATCTCGCACGTGATTGGTTATCATCCGCCCGTCAAGATTGGAATTGGATAGGGCGCGTCATGTGTGCGCCCTGTTGCCGCGCATTTCGCCGAATTAACTGTTGTTTTTTATGAAAACGTATAATTGATGGCTAGTTTATTCATCAAATTTTGTCATAGTTTTGATCAATTGCTTACAGGACCTCGTGTTTTCCAATTCTATTCATGCTCTTAATTTAACAAATCGGACTCCCAATTTGCGGTCATTCGATTTTTTCATTCTCTTTTGTGATTACAGACTGACTTGGACGACAAGAAGTCTTGTTACTATTTCTTACGATAGAATCATTTTAAAACAATGTGTATAACTACCAAAAGAATCGAGTTTCAAAATTTGGCTTTAAATGTTTCATGAAGATAGTGGCTTAGATGTGGGATGCGATGAACTCATGTCAATTTGGCCTGGAACGAGTCAACATGAGTGTGTGAGGATGAAATACAACGTTTTTAATGACCTGGTTTAATTGCAGAGAGCCATATTTTCTCAAAAGTGGAGACATGTTTCGCTGGAAATGTTTTATTGGCTGAGGGGGATCAAATAACCTGTCATTTTGGAGGCTCAAAGTACGTAAAGCAAGTCTACCTGGAAACCAACTGTGATACTGGAAAGAAGGCATCATTTCAGATTTCTTTCAACGATCGTGCCAAGTCAGTAGTGTAGGTTGAAATCTTTCTCGTTAACATTTCGCTTGTATCCATCAAAGTTTATCCCTGCTGCAGATTGACACTAATTATCTTATTTCCTCGAATAAGCGCCCGAGCACTTATTTAAAGTTTATTCCTTATATATATATATATTTAAACACGTGACACCTAGGAGTACCGAAGTTCTCGTTTAAACGTGTACGTGTATTAGAGATCCACCCAACCCAACCCAGGGGAGGACATCCATCACACAGTAATCTCGTGCGTGGGAAATTAACGTCTCCTACCCCAAACCCTGCAGGAGAGGGGACCTCCGGCTTCACGTCTTATCCGAGAAGACGAAGCAAGGTGAGTGAAGCGACTTGCTTAAGGCCACAACGTAGTGCCCCATCCAGGACATAAACCCGGGCCGTCCAACCCAGAGTCCAGCGCTCTGACCACTGGGCCACTCACGCCTCACCAAGTTTAGCGAAAAGTAGGGGCGCTTATCGGAAAAAAGATACTTAATCAAGGGGGAAGCTAATTATTTTCCTGTACTGATTTCTCCTAAGTTGAAGCTAAAAAGTTATAAACAAAGTGGCGATAGAGACAAGTTTCCCTTATATCCCTACTATTTAAGAAAGTGAGGGAGCAAGGGGGGAGGCACTTATTCAAGGGTACTTGTTTGATATTATGGCTGAGAGGGTTGGCGCTTAATCGGGAGAAGGCTTATTAGGTTGTGGGCGCTTATTCGAGGAAATACGGTAATCTCTTTTTGTGGCACAACTCCATTGACGACCTGGAACAAGTACAGCCATTCTATTGTGGAGGCCTATCCCACTGTCTACGACATCATGTACAGTAGCGGATGCAGAGGTGAGGGTCCCGAGACCCACACCTCCCCTCAATAGACCTGTGGGTATTTTTAATCCATACCTGATACCAAACTTCTACCAAAATTGTATGTTTACCGAATCAAAGTTTAGAACCCTCCTCCCCCGCTCTCCCCTCATCCATCCTCCTTCCCCCCTCCTCCATCCTCTCCCCCCTTCTCCGTCCCCCCCTCCATCCTTTCCCCCCCTTCTCCGTCCCCCCCTCCATCCTCTCCCCCCCTCCTCCATCCTCTCCCCCCCTCCTCCATCCTCTCCCCCCCTCCTCCATCCTCTCCCCCCCTCCTCCGTCCCCCCCCTCTCCATCAAAAGTTCCTAATTCCGCCCCTTGTCAATTTTTTTTTAAAAGATGAATTAAGGATTTTCCACCCTTCTGGAATGAGTATGACAGAGAGGAGTTTTCATTGTAAATCTTGTCCGATCATTAGATATGTCCGAGATGCGGCATGTGGGATAGTGTTTGAAAGACACAACAACAAAGGATTAGCTAATGGAGCCACGGAAATGACTTTAACACCGCTCATGTACCACAGTGATAAAAATGAAACTTCTGTTCAAGCAATGGGATGGATCGGGGAAAGAGGTAGAGTCAGCTCCAGGTTCTTCGTTTTAATCCTATCGTACTTTTCGTTCTGTCCTGGTTTTTTCATTCTTCTCCTAATTTTTGTTCTGTAGCTTCTTTTTATTGCGCTTGTTCTCCCTGTAAGTTTCTGTTGTTTTTTGTCGTTGTATTTGTTCTTGTTAGGGAGTTTGGGACGTCACTGCAGCGACGCCTGGGAAAACGTTGACGAAAAATCGAACTTTCTTTTCCACTAAGAATTTCGCCAGTTCCTCGGTAAATTTACGCTTTCTGATGATGCGACGTCATCCCTTCGGCACAACATGTGAATCATTGTAGTTTTGAACTCAAATTAAAAACAAAAAAAATTTAAATTTTAAAAATTAAATTCTGTCGAGGTTTCCTTTCAGCGAGGGGACTTCAAAGTTGATGACTTCAGGTTGTTGTTGTGCATGAGAAGACTGAAAAATAGCCAAGTTCTAAAACGCTCGTGCCGCGCTATTGTTCTGCGCAGTAAATTTTTTGTCTCGCCTCGTTCTTCTTGCAGTCCTTGTTGTTGTTGCATCGTCTTTGATGTTTTATTTTGTTGTGTTTGTCTCTGTTTTTCTTCTTCTTCTCCGTCCTCTCCCCAAAGATGACGAATTTCAGCCAATTTACGATCAGTACGGTTGGTTTTGGGTTGGGTTTTTTATATTAATAGGGAGTTTTAGAAAACCACGACGGCAACGGCAACGGGAACATTATTAAACAAAAGGCTTAATGAGCAGAACAATAGCTGTGCACGTGCGTTATAAATCTTTCTAAATTTTTTTGCGTCCTCTGCAAAACAACAACGTGAATGTCCAGATGTTGTCTGGAGAACGTGAACGACGACGGCTAATTTTGTAAATTTTTGTTTCTAATTTAAAGCTGTGTTACATATTCAGCTTCGAGATAGTTTGAACAGTGAGAAACAAGCTAAATGACTTTAGAATATCGCCAAACTCGTTGGTAAAATATAAGTTCAATTTTTAACAGACGTTGTCCACAGCGTCGCCGTCGTCGTTTCTTAAACTCGAACATCTATTATGAATCCATTCGTCTTTTCAAACAACAGATTGTGCTAAGATGACCTCTCTTTTTTTCTCAATACCAGATATTATGGAACCTTTATTTCAGTCCTTGATCTTATACTGGTCTATGGAAAATGTGACGCAAACAGCCAATCTTACAAGAAACGGAACCAACCGCACTGACCTCATTGACTCCAATACTAATGTTGTGTCACAACCTGTCAAGTCTTCTGAAGGAAAGTTGCACTTTGGGATTATTAATGAATCTTGTATTATAAACTTAAGACATACGACGTGCCCTGGGGGTATTACGATGTCTTTTTGGCTGAGATTATTTAAGACCAGACCAACAGAACCTGTGAAGATTTTGGGATTCGGCCAGCCGCATGAAAATAAAAATGGTTTTCTGGTTATGGAAAGAGAAGATGACCTTGTCATTCGAATGATCACTTACAAATACCGTTGCGAAATAGAACTAGATGTGGTCGATGGTGCTTGGACACATATAACTTTCTCGTTTCGTATTCCTCGTCTCCTGAAGGGTTACCGAAATGGTGAACAAAATGTAACCAATAATGTATGTGTTGTCGGGCCCAATGCTATCGAGTTTGATCAGCCATTAACAAGCGGAGCAGCCAAGGCTACTTTTGACGAAGTAATGATCTGGTTTCACCAGCTCCAGAGAGATGAAATCTTTGGCTTGGTTGAAAACAATATAGGTACGAACGACTGTTAAGTAACTTGTTACTTCCAGTTCTTACAGTGAATAGATACACCTAAAACCGGTTGAATAAGTTTATACGATCACACGCACGATATTTCCAAGACCCCGTGCCTTACTTAACAAGACAATTTGGTTTTATTGACTGAGCTGATAATGTAAATTGATTACCGTAAAGCTGAAGTTTCCAGCGTTAGCCCTCAGTCAGGGCTGTGACGATGGGGCAACCCTATAAACGTCAGTTTTAGAAACCCTTTACGTTGGTCAAGTTACATTTCCGACTCAATTTACAAAACCAAATTTATTCTGTTTTTCCTCTCCCCTCTCCCACAGTCTCTTTACAAACTTACCCCCAGACTCAGTTGCACTCTCAGTGGCAAATTGAAGCCTGAGTGTTATAACTGACTAACGTATGTCTTAACAATACTTGCAAAACTTAAAGACCAGAGCCGTCAATTTGAGGAACCAACTGAAAACCGCTTTGGCGAGTTGGGTTCATGGTCGTTAAAGAAGCTGTTCTATTTGAAAATATTTCTCTCACTAGAATCATCTTTTTTTATTTTATTATTATTTTACTTTTATGATTATTTCTATCAAGGAAAGCCATCTCGGTTTTGGATAAATGTGGAATTCAAGTTTCCAGGCAAGAATTGGAGCGAGTTCATTAAGTCAAAGGATGCAGAGAATCGAGACATCGAGGAACAGGTGTGATTTTCAAGGACTACGGGAGCAAATAGTTTCGCGTTTAGCGTTTTCAATTGGCTTATTCTTTTATTTTTTCTTCTTCAGGTCGGAAAAATGTTTGAAAATGATCCGAAATACGGCTTTTCCTCCGTTTATTCCGCAAGGTACCGTACGTAAAGTTTTTTTTTCCAGATATATTCGGCGTGAATAGAAAATGAAATAGTATTGATAACACTTCAGTGCCATTGTTGTTTTTCAACAAACCTAAAGTGAAAATATCACAGTTTTGTGCTTGCTCGGCTAAACTGTCATTTTACGTGTTTTGAAGGACCAGCTGTACCATTCTCTTAAGTTTGCTCGTAACGTCATGATGTTGAATACCTAAAAAAAACATCATAAAGGCTGGCTTATCATTAGTTTCACCTTTAAAGAATTCTGGATGGAAGATGATGATAGCATTGATGTCTATGCTCTTAGCTGCGAGTGATGCACATTTCGAATCCTGGGGAATATTTAAAAAGTTTCGTTTTTTACAGGTCCGGAAGTGTCATTGTAAATGTCAACATGTCGTTCTACTCTGTTGGAACTGACAACGTCATTAACCTTATTGAAGCCTTATCTCCAAACTCCTCATTATTTCGAGAAGATTTCGAAGTGACTTCTGTTGAATCGCTACACAGTAAGATTACTGTCATTTGCTACATTTATCACATTCGTTCTTAATTAAGAGAGCATTGTAAGGGAGCCGTCATTATGTATCGTTGGGGGGTGGAAGGATTTTGAATAGGGTCACATGGTTTTCAGGTGGAACGGAAAGGGGATCAGTGTTCGCTAACAGAATATATAGGAGGGACCATAGGAAATTAACTTCCCATAGGGGATAATTAAAATAGTACAGAGCCTTATGAGGGGGGGGGGGGTGTTATGATACGATCAAAATCCTCCGATTCCCCTCCTCCTCCTCCCCCCCTTCCCCCCGACAGGTGATAATATTCCCCGATCGCTAAACTTACTGAAGATCTCACACCCAAGCTCACCCGAAAAAATAAATAAATTTTCAAATCTTTTTTCTTCATAGTACCAACTAGGGCTCCCACAAACGTAACTGCTACTTCTTGTGAATCGGATTCTCTTTGTCTCCTGGTTTCGTGGACAAGTCTGCCAGAGTCTTATGTGGACAGTTTGAATGGAGTTTTCCAGGGATACGCGATACTGTATTGTGAAGAAGGCGAACCATTTGCTGAACAGTACGTACCGCCTCAGAATAAAGAAAGATACGAAGCTGAGATAAAGAACCTCAAGGGGGTCACTAAATATATTATTCGAGTATCGGTGGTTACCTTGTCTTGTGCGGGCCTTCCAAGTTCCCCTATCACTGCCTTTAGTGGGGAGAGCGGTAAGTAATGAAATGGCTCATTTCTCTATATGAAGATAGGCTCCTAGCGAGGGCGTTGTAACTTTCATTAACGTTTTTTAATATTTTTTCCACGCGTTTCTATTGGTGCATTTGAAAAATTCGTATCAGAAGTTGACGCGGGCGAAAATAAAGAGGTTAAATTTTGATTTTGAAGTTTTGGTTTGTGTGCGTATGTGTTTTTTTTACGGATGAGGCGTACTTTAATAGAACATTTCAGCTGGGAAGAATCAGCTGAACAGGGGGTGGGGGAGGGGGGGTGCAGGAGTGTGCATCCCCCTACCTCCCTGATCACGAAAACCTGCGGTTTTCCAATATGACAAGCATTTTGCGTCATTCCTCAGCGGTGCACCCTCCCCCACCCCGAGAAAAATCCTTGTTAGTGTACCTGAGCAACTGCGCACTTACTGCTCCCTTAAACCAACAATAGTCAACTGATAACAAGTTAGGGTAATTTTGGGTCAGGAGAGAGGGGTTGGTGCGTCATTGCTCAGATATTTAAATTGCCCTTCTTTTTTAAGCGTTATGTTTCGTTGACAAACAATCAAAGAGGGAAACAAACTAAAACCTTTGATTTTTAGCTCCCAGTGCTCCTCCACCCAACCTCAGAGTGACAGACCTAAACTCCACCTGCTGCGAAGTCACATGGGACCCAATCCCTTCGGAGCATATTAATGCAGCCACGCTTCTTGGTTATGAGGTATTCTGGGAAAAGGGCACTAACTCTACGATCAATGTGACCAGGACAGCCCAAACAACAGTTTGGTTGACAGATTTGGAAGAAGACACCGAGTACAGTGTCACCATCAGCGCTTTTAATCGAATTGGCAGTGGACCAAACAGCTCGTTGTTTACTTTTAGAACAGACAAAGGTCCCAGAGCTCCTAGTGCTCCTCCAACGAACCTCAGAGTCACCAACTTAAGTTCCACTTACTCCGAAGTAACATGGGACCCAATCCCTTCGCAGCACATTAACGCGGCCACACTACTTGGTTATGAGGTATTCTGGTTAAAAGTCCTTAACTCTACAGTCAATGTGACCAGGACAGCACAAACAGCAGTTTGGTTGACAGATTTGGAAGAAGACACCGAGTACAATGTCTCCATCAGTGCTTTTAATCGAATTGGCAGTGGACCAAACAGCTCGTTGTTTACTTTCAGAACAGACAAAGGTCCCAGAGCTCCTAGTGCTCCTCCAACGAACCTCAGAGTCACCATTCTGGGTTCTACTTTCTCTGAAGTCACATGGGACCCAATCCCTTCGCAGCACATTAACGCGGCCACACTTCTCGGTTATGAGGTATTCTGGGTAAAAGTCCTTGACTCTACAGTCAATGTGACCAGGACAGCACTAACAACAGTTTGGTTGACAGATTTGGAGGAAGATACCGAGTACAATGTCACCATCAGTGCTTTTAATCAAATGGGCAGTGGACCAAACAGCTCGTTGTTTACTCTCAGGACAGACAAAGGTCCCAGAGCTCCTAGTGCTCCTCCAACGAACCTCAGAGTCACCAACCTGGGTTCTACTTTCTCTGAAGTCACATGGGACCCAATCCCTTCGCAGCACATTAACGCGGCCACACTTCTTGGTTATGAGGTATTCTGGGAAAAAGTCTCTAACCCTACAGTCAATGTGACTAGGACAGCACAAACAACGGTTTGGTTGACAGATTTGGAGGAAGATACCGACTACAATGTTATCATCAATGCTTTTAATCAAATTGGCGGTGGACCAAACAGCTCATTGTTTACCTTCAGGACAGAAAAAGGTCAGTGACGGATTTCTAGCGCACAACTATCTTTCCTACCTCCTGTAACTCAAAAATTACAGGACAAGCACAATCGTCTCCCTCACTTGCTCTCTTAGGGAGCTACCGAAAAAAATGTTTCAAATCTAAAATAAAAAAAAAACTGCTAATGTACTGTATTAAGGATTCTCTTATTATACAAAATTTGTTATCCCATAATGTCAGAAGTGTAAACACAGGCTGTACTGTAAATAATCGTCAGATTTAATCTTAACGTATGCAGTTTTATTACAGTTGTAAAGTACTTAGTATTTCAAAGTACCGTCAGTTGCGTAGGTAACACCGACATTGGGAGAAATACAGCTACGGTATTCAGTTAATAAAAAAACACTGATAAAAGAATACAGATATCATTTTGAGATAACTTAAAATTGAGCTGCTTTCTTTCAGCTGCAGTCAATGGCACCACTTTACTTGTTGCAAACTCAACCGTCAATGGAAGTAAGCGAATCACACATGCACCACTTAATCTGTAAGATAAAAGTTGCTACATTATGCATTGTGTAACAACGTTAAGATAATTTAAACCTGAGCTGCTCTCTTTTTAGCTGCAGTCAACGGCACCACTTCACTTATGGCAAACTCAACCGTCAATGGAAGTAAGCGAATCACACATGCACCACTTAATCTGTATGATAAAAGTTGCCGCATTATGCATTGCAATAATTTAAACCTAAGCTTTTCTCCTTTTAGCTGCAGTCAACGGCACCTCTTCACTTGCTGCAAACTCAACTGTCAGTGGAAGTAAGCGAATCGCACATGCACCACTTATTCTGTATGATAAAAGTTGCCGCATTATGCATTGCAATAATTTAAACCTAAGCTTTTCTCCTTTTAGCTGCAGTCAACGGCACCTCTTCACTTGCTGCAAACTCAACTGTCAATGGAAGTAAGCGTATCTCACATACACCAATTAATCTGTAAGATAAAAGTTGCCGCATTATGCATTGTGTAACAATCTTGAAATAATTTAAACCTAAGCTGCTCTCTTTTTAGCTGCAGTCAACGGCACAACTTCACTTACTGCAAACTCAACCGTCAATAAAAGTAAGCAAATCCCACACGTGCACTATTGAACATGTACTCCGTCAGTTTATAAAAATTGCCGTATTATGTAATGTGTATCAATGAAGTTTAGCAAATACCAACAAGCCAAGAGTACGAGAGATTGCCATTTTCAATGTTTTTAAATGTAAGCTTTTCTTCTCTTAGCTGCAGACAACAGCACGACCTCTCATGCTGGAAACTCAACCATCAATGGTAGTAAGTAAATCCTCTTGGTAACTACTGCAAGCTGATTTAAATATCGCCAGTAAACATGACGCAACACCAAATTCTAACACTTAAAATATTATAGAAATTTTGGTTGAAAGTAAATTTTATGTTATCGGATATTAACACTGTTTTGTCTTCTTTTAGCTTTTGCTAACAGCATCAGTGTTTTAAATTACTCTACTACAGGAAGCCCTATCATGAGGACCAATCAAATTGAGTAGAATTTTCCTCATGAGTTATGCATTCAGACGAGATGTCTTTCATAATGCATCGTTCCAGATGTATTATGAATGATAGTTTGTCTCGATGTGTATTGTGCCCGTCTTTATACTAGAGACGCCTAACTAGAAGAATTACAAATGTTTGCCCTAGTTCGATCAGACAGATTTTGAGTCTTAGGTATAAGAACAGTCATCGAAAAGACACGCTATTTTTTAACCAGACGCTAGATGCGTTCCCTTAGAAAGAAAAGAGCCTCCCCCCGCCCCTTTTGCAAAAAGATGCTAAACCTTATGTATGTATTCCTTTAGCATTAATCAACAGCACCAATCACAATAGTCTCAATAGCTCTCACGTACAAAACCATAACACAACGATAAACCAAGGTAAGTGCGGTTTTTACCCCATAGAGCGCTTTTCAATTGAGTGTCGTAAAACTCAAACCAAAATAATGACAACAGCCAATGAGAAGGAAAGAAATTATCGTTAAGAGCCAATGAGAATTCAATGCAAAAACAACCAAGCTGCCTTAAGCGCGGGAAAACGCGGGCAATCAAGTCGTTTTGCATCTGATTGGTTGAGAGAGTAGCACGAGTTTTCTGGACCAATCACAAGGCGAAGTAAGGCAAGACCAAAGCAACCCCAAATAACTTTGGACAATGAGTTGAAACTTCCTCTTTTAGGGTTGTTTTTACCTTCCAGATGGCCTGTATAGTCAAAGTGACTTGATGAATGAGACCAACGAACCATACGCTAAACAATAATGAACATTACCTTTGTTTCTTAGCTTCAGTTAACAGCACCATAGTCTTTAATAACTCTACAGTAAGTGGATCGAATGTATCGAGTGGTCAAAGTAAGTGAAAATACATTAATTTCTAGGTTTAGGGATCTTAGATTTTCAGTAATCGACGCGAATTTCAGATTGTGGAACCTGGAATTTTCTTAGATGTGCAATGCTATTAGGTCATCTAGTATGCCCTGTCAAGACTGAACCAGAGCATATGGCCTCATGAACTGTTGATATACCTAAGGAAATAGGAGCTGTGGTCAAGAGCGCTTTTTTACCGGAAATTAAAAAACTAACAAATTTACTGATTCGCAGATCTCTTTAATCTTAATTCATCTTCTTTTAATAGCAAACAAATAAACTTGTCAAAGTCCCTTACTTGACAGCAACTCTGTTGTCCTATGCATTTATTCCACTGAACTTGATACAACATTTACAGAATGGAATAAAAATTTACATAACTGGAGACAAAATTTACCCACGTTCATCAAAATTAGTGAATACATAACAGAATAAATTGCGATAAACTGCTAAGTGAATCTAACTAAACCAAATCTCAACCTCTGAAAAATTAGGAAATTTACGTTTTCTATTGCTAATTCTTTCAGGTGTGATAAATAACGGTGTTGCAAACGCTACGTTGTCAAGTTCGACGACCAGCTCATCAACAGTAAAACAAGAAGGTGAGTGGAATCAATTGCCATCTCAAAAGATTAAAAGAAAGAGTGAAAAAAAAAACATGCTCCAACATGGAGGCAGGGCGTTTCCCAACACGCGCAGTGAAGAGGGTAAATTGTTGCCAACAACCTCTAAATAGATACTACTGGTGAGTGAATGGAATGAATTTATTTTTCTCTACCGAAGCTAGAGCTGACACTCGAAACATCAGCTTTAAAAACTCCTTGCGGTGATCAATTTACATCATCAAATCAGTTTATGAAATACAATTATCGTGTTACGACCCCCCTCCCCTCGACGCAACACAACAATTTCCTAGCGGGTGAACGTTTATATTATTCTCGGAAGTCAACATGACCTTCGGGTTAAGTAATAGCGTTATTCAGTGCTTTGGAGAGTTGGTTTTGATTTATACATTTATAATCACTAACCACTCATTATCTACCACCTTGAGGGGGGGGTGAGAGCGGTCAAGGATTCATGTCGTGTCATGATAAAATGGTATCCGGTCACTTCGTTCCATGACCACTTCGTTCCAAACCACTTCGTTCCATCCTTTGGTCACTTCGTTCCACCAAGTAGTCACTTCGTTCCAAAGAATAGTCACTTCGTTCCAAGTGTAAACTAAGCGTGTAAACTTCTAATCTTACAAAACTAGTAAACGGTATACGCCGTCTGTTGTGACGGCCATTTTGAAACTTGTGAAGTACCTGCCGTGTGCGTGGAATCTGGGACTACCGGAAACAACTATACGTATACACGTTGATCATAGCAACCAGACCAAAGTAAACCTTGATTTCATTATTTCAACATCGCTTTACTTTTTTATCAGACTTGAGTAAAAATGAACCTGCTTGTTATTACTAAGTTAACCTTTCTTTACAGTATTTATTAGTTTTAGACTGACGAATACGCGAAATCATGTTTAGATTGAACATAAACGCGAAAAGATGTGAAACCACTCGTTGATCATAGCAACCAGAATAGAGAACTTTCATCACGACAACATCTCCATGTGATCACAAAGCGCTTCACTATTTTTCCCTTTTATAAGATATGATCCATCTTTCATCATACTTTACTTTCATCATACGTTACTTTCACTGAAGAAGATGCAAATCTATGATTTGTTCGTAAAAACCCGACCGTTTAAAGACGACACAAACGATTTCATCGTGAAAACATATTCTTCGGTGATTGTCATTACAACCCTCGCTAAAATTTATTATTAAGACTAAAGTAGATAACAGCTACACTTAACTTGAATTTGAACAAACCACGCTTTAATAACGTTTTGATAGTTTTCGATTAATAAACCATGCTTTGATCATAGCAACCCGACTCAAGCGGACGCATGACCACGCTTCGTCATGACAACATCGTCGGACTTTTTCCCCTTGACTTTGATCATTGTCATAACAATCTCGTTTAACTTAAATTCGAACAAGCCACGATTTGATAACGTTTTAATAATTTTCGATCTATAAGGAACGAAGTGACCAAAGGATGGAACGAAGTGGTTTGGAACGAAGTGGTCATGGAACGAAGTGGCCGTAATTCGATAAAATTCGTCTACTCCCGCAAAGGCTCTTTGGTGATCCAATGATCCCCCTCCCTCATTGGCAGTCAATTTTCTATAGTTCCCCTCCCTTTATACTCTGGTAGCGACGACGACTGACTCCCCTTCCATCCCCCCTAAAAATCATGTAATACTCCAAAATCCTCTGACCCCTCTCCCCTGGAGAGCAATAATGACTGGTTCTTAAGCTTAAAATTAGACCTCAAAGCAGGAAGAAACAAGTCATGTTTTTCTGTATATCGTTAAGGTGGCTATGTAATATCCTCCACATGCCTCTCCTTTCTGCTCGCCGCGTATTTTTCCGTTTTTGCGCCGAACAAGGAACGCCCTAACGGTTGCCTAAGGTTATCAGCGGTTGTCAGGAGCCCATTAATGGGCTCTTGCGGTTGTCTGAGGTTAACAGAATTATTTTCAACACCCTCACACGAGCTTACATTTTTTCTTTATTGGTCATATCATATCTTCTCCCACTGCAGTTCCTAAGGATACACCTGAGAACGTAAACGCTAAAAATTACACAAGTATTAACTCACTTTTGGTCACGTGGGATTCAATACCCTCAGCTTCACGCAACGGAGTTATCCTTGGTTATAAAGTTTTCTACAGACCCGTGCTCGTGTCACGTGAGCAACCAACTGTCACCAGCTCATTCATGGTGATAGTCGGTGCATCAGACCAACAGGCCTTACTGACCAGATTAGACAGCTTCACTGTATACGAGATTGAGGTGCTGGGGTTCAATGTGGTTGGAGACGGGCCTAGAAGCACTCCCATAAATGCAGGTAGGGGGAGATATACGTGATTCGCGCCTATTGCCGCCTCCCCACGCATTGCTGAAGCTTACAGCAGAAGCGGTATATCCGCAAAACAAACCCCACTCCCACAAAATACAGCAGTCAAACGTTTGCGCATGGGCGAAAGTTGTGATGATTAGGTGACGTGCTTTCAGGCTGTCAGATACAAGTTGTCTTACGGTGTTTACAACCACACGAGCCAGTAAGTTATTGTGTTTCAAAAGCCTTTAACCTTTATGATAAAGCTCAAAAGAAAGTGGTAAGTAAGCTGGATACCCGTACTTGAATAAGCCTTCTGTTCGAGTGGTCTCGAGTTTTCCCTTTTCCCCACTGCTGTTTCCTTTAAACGACGTTTCAATTTTCTTTCGCTTATTTTGCAAGGCAGCCGTTGTTTCTTATGTTTCCTTTGAAATGTTGCGCTGAAAATTTGCGAGAGTTGATCCCCTCGCGCATTCCCGACGTTTGACCGCTGTGTACCTCCCATAATATTATTCTCGTGAGTGAGTAAAATGTTTCTGAGCTTTCCTTTGCTTTTTCATCGATATAGAAACATGCAGATGCCCCAGCTCGTTCAGCACAAACTGGTGGCACAATCCTCCTTATATGATTCGCGATTCCCAATCAGAAGCCATATTTCCATTCATAATAAAAAACATGGTGTCGACCTGCTGTCAGCCGTGTCAAACCCACGCTTCCACCATTGTATACTTCGTGGGAAACAACACGAATCATCGCAGCGAAAAAAGAGGGCATGATCAAGTCAGAGCATCTGTAGAAGAAAGCGACTTGAGCTTTCCTTTGTATGGATACAAAGGACAGGATCATTTCATGGGACAGTTTGGCTTTATGGCGGTAGTGGAGTCTCCTTCAGTGGTTCTTATTGTACCTAAGGAGGATTCCAATTCTTCGTCTATGCGATTATTATCGTCCTTGTTTCAATGTTGGCCGGTCATGCTCATCAACCTGTGCATTGTTTTTCTTAGCGGGATCGTCATATGGTTTTTGGTTAGTCCCAACATTACAACATTGAGTTTTCGTTCCATCAGCATAGCAGTTTGACTCCTCCCTCTCAATTTCACTTTGAGGACCGGCCATTTTTTATTGCGTGGGGAGATTGGAGGATTTTGGTTGCGTTACGATCCTCCCCCCCCCACATTTCCTCTGACCTCCCTCCCCACAATCCTCCGATTCCCTCCCCTGCGATAAGTAATGAATGGTCCATTAGCTTTTCATATATTTTTTTTCATTTTTTTTCTGTTACCCAAGCCCGTCAATGTTAATGCATTAACTTAGACCATTCGCTTTGGAGATCTGACTTTCTTGTTCTTTTCTATCCTTTTCATTCCATCCTTCCCTTTTCTTCTTTTTTTCAGGACTCTTCGAAAAATCCCGAGGAATTTCCAAAATCCTTTTTACAAGGAACTCCTGAAGGAATTTGGTGGACGTTTATTACTATGACAACCGTTGGGTGAGTAGAGCAGTGAGTAGAACAGGTCAGAATCGTGATACCTTATACCCACATTCCACTATGATTTCATATTTTTTCTGAGGAGGAGAAATTCCTATGGTAATCGCTATCTTAATGTTGTTTTACATATATACATAAAATCACCTTCGTGTTAAACGTTTCAAATAAAAGCTGCTAGATTGAATTTATTTCTTAAAAATTTTCCTTTCCAATAGAGAGCCTCATTTGCTTTTGTATGTACGTACGCTACGCGGGCCTTCGTTTTTGCTTTGTTTTTCAGTTACGGTGACAAGACTCCCAAGTCACCACTTGGTCGTATCTTTGCTGTGGCTTCAACTCTGATTGGCCTGGTTACTACTGCTGTGCTGATAGGCTGTCTGACGTCTTCCCTGACAACAGACATTGTTTTCACAGATGTAAGACTGTTTGGGGCGAAGGTAATATGCGCTGCCTTTCATAATGTAATGACTGAGAAATCACCGATATGGTACAATATAAAGTGAAACCTTTCTTCTCATTTCTTCTTGTTCTTTCTTTAGATCGCAGCTGTACATAACTCATCTGAATTCCGTCTTGGGTTAAAGAAAAATGCAAAGATGAACCCAGGTAAAATTAACATATCTTTTTGTTTCTTTTGCGAGCGACATATGAGAAGACACAGGCAAAATCAGTTTCCAAAAGCAGTACGCTAGAGCAATTTTTAACTCAGAACGTCCAACCGGAAGAAAAAAGAATACCCGTAAGAGCCAATGACAACTCAAACTAAACACAACCAGAAATGCGTAAAGCGCGGGAAAGTATGGGTAAACGCGGGTGACCAAGTCGTGTTTGGTTTTAGATTTGCATCTGATTGGTTTAAAAAGCGGCGAAAGTTTTCTGGACCAATCAAAAAGCGAAGTAAAGCAAAACCAAGGAAATTTCAGACAACTTTTGCCACTCAATTTAAAATTGCTCCAAGATAGTCATGACAGTTCTTAATTTTTGTTTTCCTGATTAACGTGTCACATCGCTGTTTTTCATTTGAATTCAACAGATAGAGAATACAAAAATCTAGATGATCTGCACGAGGCTCTTCGATCTCGTGAAGTCGAGGGGGCCTTGGTCGATGCTTTAGTGGCTGGGAGCCGAGGCGATTTGTTCAATTCAAGTGAATTACGTATCTATAAAACTCTGCATCATTCATCAGTTTACGGAGTGGTTTTAGCTGGGCATGCCAAAAAGCTTCAAAAATGCTTCTCTAATTTTTTGAAGGAGAACTCTGCAGAAGTTTCTGCACATGTTGCCTCAAAGACAAAGGTCATTAAGGTACTTATGTTTCCAGTGTATTTTTTTTTCAATTTCGTTCAAGTTATTTCAAGCTTTTAAACAGAAGTTGTAACATATAAGGCGGTAAAACTCTGCAACACACCCACAAGTGTTACTGTTACGATCACAGTCAGGACGTTTTCGGGGACAAGATTTTATAATATGGCCAAATACTTTCTATAGACGGAGTGTATGCCGCGCGAAGGCTTTGAAGTTCCAATCATCTGTTGACCCGTCGTGTTGCAGTGACTTATCGTCTTCTGTGTCGTCTCAACCATTGAGACGACACCATTCTAGCCTGTTCCAGGCCTCAGTTAGTAAAACGAAGGGCGATAGTAAACAACTCGTTGGCAGCGGAGGAGTAAAAAAAGAGAGGTTTGGATCGGGTGGTGTAACGACCCAACCCGGACTTCCCTCGTTTTCGCTCTGACATCATTATCACGCCGTTTACTGCTTCGCCACATTTTACGAACTGAATCCCTGGAACAGGTTATGACCATTTAGATAACAGCTTCTCAAGTGAAATCGTTACCATGATATCCAGCACTGTTACAGTAACTAATAAGCTGTACGAAATGTTGCGTCTGTGGTTAACTCCTTTTGTGGACTACATGACAAGTTATGATGTAAGAGATTGTTAAAAATTTTACTGCAATTTATAGATTTCAGCAGAAAGTGCGGCTGTGGAACAAGCAATGAATTTGTTTCATCCTAAAAACGTTTTATTCCAAGACTCTCTCTGGTGGAGTCTGAAAGTGTTAGCCTTCCTGACAGTATGCGGTCTGACCTGGGAGATAACAAGAGCTATGCGCATTTCACGACAACGTCGTGGTAAGAGTCTTCTCATTCCTAGCGTATCTGTATAATTTTACACTTTTTGTCCCAAATCTAGGTTTCCCGTAAGAACTCTAGCCTCCAACCTTTTATTTTGCGGTCGTATTAATCCTGTAGTACCCTGCCAATTGACAGACACATTGCTCGCTTATGTGCTTGAACCAAGTGCATATTTCAAATGAACTTCTGCGCAAGGCTTCCAATCTAGTCGCTGACTATCCCTGTTAATTTTATACGCATACACGGCACTGATCATGCTCCTCACCCTCCTCCCCCAGGGGTAAACGCTCCATCTAATATTAGGGGGAAGAGGGCTCAGTTTCAATGCTACTGATACAAGCCTCTTTTCAATTAAATTACAGTCCATCATCAAAACGATGAGATGATTGGCTCACGCAAGAAACAGCGATTAGAATTAGAAACTACAGTAACTGAATTCTACAACAATGCAAGGGAAATTTTCAGACGATTTTCGATCAAACACAGAGAGGAAAGAAGGCAGTTAGTGAAACAAACCAAGCAAATGGCGAGGAGGTACGATGGAAAGTACGCTTGGATTAAACCGTGACTGGTGCATCGGAAGTGACGCAGGAGTCCAACGGGTGCGATACCATTGTGGGCTACGTATGCGCGTTGCCTGGTGACAATCTCCGCAGGTCACATTTATGATTGTTCCCGTTTGAAAATACTTCGATTAAGAGGCTAACGAATTTAATCAAACGCAGGAGGGAGAGTATCGCAACTCGAATACAACACATTTTCTGTATTTCTTTGTAATCAATAAAAATATGGATTTGTGTGGCTCAACTCAATGGTTAACTCTCAATGTAGAATTCTCAATCAATCGTCTCGCACTCCTGCAAGTCTCGAAGTTTAAACTTCGCCACCCCATCTCCGTTTCCAAGGCTTTCCTCAATTCTTGACGAAAAAGCCCGAGAAATGGGATTGTTGCCAACCCTAATTTCGAAACGCATACAGGGAGGAAATTTGGTGACATGAAAGACTAAGGGAGGGGTCAGTGGTTTAAGTCCTTTTACTCAGACTTCTCACGATCAATCACAGAAATTAGCTCCCAGAACAGGCGTCGGTTTTCTGTGTACATCCAGGTGCTTGTCTCGAGCATGACTGGTCTTTCTTCATCTCCTGGTTCTTCTTGTGGGCTTACGTACACTAATTAATTGTCTCTCAAAACGAACTATAATTCCTGGTAAAATTTTCTTGCTCCTGCTTCGAGTGACTTTCTTTTTTTTAACCCTGATTTACCTCTGCTTTTCTCCTTACTAGTCAGTTGGTTTGCGATAGTGTTTTGGTTTCTTCTCTCCGTCTTTCTTGTTCTCTAAAGTGGTTATCACGAGGAAACATGAACACCTTTCGCTCTTTGTGTCATTAAACGTGAATTCATTTCTTTTGCTTGTGTTAGGGTTGGGCATGGTATTAGCGGGACAGGGGAAAAGGACTTTGTTGTTCCCTTAACGCTAGTGTTTTTATTTAGCTGGAGAGTACTAAAGAAGTCGCTCCCTTAATTTAACCATTCAATTTATCTTACACCTCTCCAATCACACACAGCTTACTTGCCCAGTTCACCCACTGATCTTACACCTCTCCAATCACACACAGCTTACTTGCCCAGTTCACCCACTGGTCTTACACCTCTCCAATCACACACAGCTTACTTGCCCAGTTCACCCACTGATCTTACACCTCTCCAATCACACACAGCTTACTTGCCCAGTTCACCCACTGATCTTCTATCGGAGGAAAGGAAACCCATTCATCTTGGATTTCTTTTACCAACACCAAAACAGCCATATAGGTTGCTAGTGAAACCATTGATTTATTTAAAATAATTCCTATTCCATTACGGGGCATGGTACTAGCGGAATAAAGGAAAGAAAGTCACGCGACCGTAACGCAACGCTTCAAACTTCAACTCAAGCAAACCTGATAACCAGCGGTTATTACCATTAGAGTTTGTGCAATCTGTTTGGTTACTATGGAAATGAAGCTAGTGCGGGAAAGTAGAGTCCAGAAGGCAAAACAAGGGAACATCGCATAAAAACATTTAATATTTTATGATACAAGGCGCTAGGTAGGTATGAATGATTTCATAAGGTGGAAGGTAATAGTATTTGGTTTGTTTTCTTCCCTTGAATTGTGTTTTTGCTCGATGTTTTCGGAGGAAAAAGATCACTCAACTTGGGGGTCCTATATTGTCGAATGATCGTTTTTATTATATTATGATCCCATAATATTTGTATTGAAAAGTTTTAGATTTCTCATGTCACTTTAATATCTGTGGGGAGAAGAATTTAAAATGGGCAGCCGACTACCTGTTTCATCTGGTGAACGGTATCAAGGAAAGAAAATTTTCGCCCAAACCAGATTTAAACATGTGTCGCTTTGGTGAAATTTTCCTTCCGTGGCCTCTGATCTTTTTGCGAGTTTAGCATCTTCCAAGATCCAAGCTTGATACTCTTGTGATTTATGCGAACAGTCAACATCTATAAAATCGGCAATGCGTTTAACATTTCCATTTCAAAACATTGTCGTCTTTGTTGATCATAAAGCTATTCAGTTTCTACTCGACATTTGACGTTTGAAAGGACAACAAACATGTGCATAAACCATTTCCGAGGTAAATCCCTGCGTTCGTCTCATTCAGATTTGTGTTCATGTTACAGTTATGGGTGCCACAATCTCCAGCCGCGTTGATGGCACTTCTGTCAGTGAATACGGCAAAGGAAAGTTGGAATTCACGCCTCAGAATGAAGCTTTGTTGAATGACATTGTGAGGCAGGTGGAGAGTCTTGTGAGTTCGTATCCTCGAGAGGCAGAGACGATCCTAAAAGAACCTTTTAAATGGCACAGCACCCTAAAACCTGACAACTTTGGAGAGTTGAATTTTGGATCAATGGGATTTCAGATAACGTATGTTAATCTCATTTGGTGTCAAATTTGGGATATGTAGTGACCAACTGTAAGAAAGTGAACATTAAACGAGTAATTTCCTAAATTGTCTGACAGGTGATTACAGTGTTAATAATATACATGAAAAATTACATGACTCTGATTGGCTGAAAACAAGTGCTTTCTTGAATTCTTCTTGAACTTCTGCAATGTTTTTCATGTACATTGTTAACAAGTAATAACAAGTTTTCTCTCGCAATTTGCTGTCAAGTTTTGATGAAAGTATGTTTGCAGGAAAAGGTCAATTAATTGCAATTTGTCAATATTTTTCTCATTACAGTGGCAGCGATGTGAAATCTGAAGCTAAAACTCCAAGTGGAGAGCATTTGCTGTCTATGGACAAGGTATTTAAATGATTGATATTTACATTGATAGATAGTTTTATGTCAAAATTGCAGGGTTTGCATTGTGTTGAAGCTTACTTGAATCGTTAAGTCTGAAAGAGTCAACTTTGTGTTCAAAGGCACTTGTAAAAGATGAATACACTCTTTATGGAGACACTTTTTGTGAATTACCACCTCAAAACATTTTGGACTCATTTTTATGGCTGTACTCTACTTTTGACAATAACTTCTCCTCAACAAAGACCTAAACCACCATTCAAGTTTTCTGTGTATGTCTTGTTCCATGATTTACCTTCACAAGAGTGACTTGGACAAGATTTTCCTATGTAATACTAGCATGTAACATATACATACTTGACAATAAACAACAACCAATTTTTATGTAGGAGGGTGAAAAATTTATCCTGAAAGTGTGGACATTCGAGCAGATTGGCAGTGTCCTTAAAGTTGCAGGAGACAAGAAATGCCAAGAGGCTCAGGCTTGCCTTGAAGGTACCACTTGCACATATGTTTTTTTTTTAATTTTATGTTTTTCTTAACTTTGCATAGCAAATCTCAGGGAGCAGTCAGGGAAACTGAACAAGAGGCTGGAAGGGGGCAGGAGAGGGGGGTGGGAGGGGATGGACAGGCAACCTGTCAAGAATAAGTAGCGACACTCTTGGTCAATTCCTACTATGGAAACTATGATAATCTATGGCTGAATAGTCCACATCTTTCACTGTGATCAGTTCCATTGCTAAATTTAAGTGTACAATAAGACTTTCTTCCTTTCTAAATTTTTTTTTACTTATGCTATGCGGCCTATTTTTCTTTAGAAAACCAAGATCCCATGGTAAATGTGATGGGTGCTGCCTATGCAGCTGTCAGCAGCAGTGACAGACCCTTACTGAAGGCCCTTGCTGATCTTAGCAAAGCGCGAGAGCAATCTTCAGAAAATGTGGAAGAGCAGGAGGCAAGGTTCACTCTATCACTTCTCATCAGTGAAATGGATAAACAGCTTCTGGAAGCATCTCACAAAACCATCGCCAAGTAAGTTTCCTGTGCGCACAGTGCATTAATAATGAAGTGATGAATATGTCTATTAACATGTATTTCCTTGGGGAGACTTCGAGACCTAATTGTTGGTGAGCTGGACTGTAGGTCGAAAGGTTTGAGGTTTAGACCTGAAGTGTCAATTTGATGTTTTCTTGGGCAAACACTTTATTTTCCCCCTGGGCTTGGGTACAGACTTTGCCCTGACTTATTTCCTGGCAGTTATACACTGTATGTACAGTTTCTGTCAATAAGCTATTGCATCCTTACCTACATTTTTGTTGTTCAGTGAGGTATTCTTTATTGTATTTCTCAACACCCTGCATTTTTCTTGCAGAGAAGTGAGATTAAATCCAAGTGCCGTGCAGGTAATTTTCAATATTTACATATACTGTAGCAAAAACAATTTTCCCAAGTTTTTTTTGTTAGTGATTCATTTATCAAGCAATCTCAGAGAAGAACTTTTTTTAAATTAAAAATTGAATTCTTGATTTTGTATCTGATTTCAACAGGCTGAATATGAGTTACTAAAATCCTTTGCTGGAGAGAAAGGACAGTGCCTGGAGTATATTGAATGGACTCTTGGTAAGGTCCTCAATTACTGATACTATAGTTATGTCAAATGAGAAATGGAAAACTTCTTCAGCCATATTGGTACCAAACTCGTGCAATGTTATTTAAAGACAATGTCATTGAAAAGACTTGACTTTTAAAACACAGAGACAGAAAGTGAACATGATAATACCATCTCTCACTAGATCACCAGTTCAGTAATGGATGCCATGCCCCGCCCTGGCAGCAAGTTCATGGCGATATCAGCTACCTTGACATCAAGCCATTTGACTCCGACAAATTGACTGTCACTGCTAACACAGCTGGTTACTTTATAAACAAAGGCCTGACTCAAGAGGGGCAGGTGAACTTTGAAAGAGTAGGAGATGTTTATCCCACACTAGTGGCACTCCTGAAGGCAAAGAGTCCCCAGTTTTCATCCGCTATTGAGAAGAAGGTATTTTTCAAATTGATGCAAGTACCATAAATCTTCTAATGATCGTCTGGGTCCTTAGACTGCCTTTTCGATTGAGTGTTGTGCAACCAAAACCAAATCAATCACAACAGTAATTCATCAGAAGGAAAATATTACAAGGAGCCAATGAGAACTTGAAGTGAAAACAAGCAAAGTGCCTGAAGCGTGGGAAAACGCGGGCTACCGACACACGATTTATTTTAGTTTTGAATCTGATTGGTTGAAAAGGTGGCGTGAGTTTTCTGGACCAGTCACATGACGAAGTAAAGCAAAAACAAAGCAATCCCGGATTGCTTTTAACACTCGATTGAAAATTGCTCAATGTCAGGGGCACTTATTTAAGGTGGGAGCTGAATTAATTATGCAAACGATACTTAACGTAGGGGAGGGGAGGGTGCAGTTTTTTCAAGTTGGAAGGGCTTTTTCTCCAATTTGAG